ACTGCGCTAATTTCTAAACATTATAAAGGAGGGTTGCGGAAGCTGTATCAGTGCTTAGCGTGGCCATTTTAATTTTAGTAACCATGAGTCGTTATACGGGAGAACAGCGCGCGGACTGTGTCCGCGCCTATTACGAGAACCTTCGATCTTACGTGACTGTTCGACATCTTTTTTGTGTCAAATTCGAACTACGGCGTATTAGTGAGTGTCCGAGCACTAATTTAATAAAACAGTGGGTAAAGAGATTCGAAAGATCAGGATCAACACAAAAACGCGTCAAAGAGTTATACGCATTGACGAAACCATTCAGCAAGTTCGAGAATCTTTGCGCTCGAATGCAAGAATGTCGACTCGTAAACGTTCCTTTCCTTTAGGCGTGTCTAGATCCACGTTGCAGCGAATTTTGCACCTGAACATGAAATTGCATCCCTATAAGATCCAAATAGTGCAAGAATTGAATCCAAAATACTTACAATCAAAATTTAATTTTGAAAATGAAATGTTCGAGAATTTCACTGGCTTTAATAACATTATCTTTTTCGATAAACATCATTTTAATATACACAGTTTCGAGAATAAGCAAAATTGCCGGTACTGGGCTACAGAGAATCCCCGATTAAAATATCTGAAGCCACTTCACTCACCAAATGTTACGGTTTGGGCTGGAATCGCCAGATGGGGTATCATCGGGCCGTTTTTCGTTCAAGACAATTGTGGTTGAATAGTTACCGTAAATTCAGAGCGGTACACAGTTATGATGGCGGATTTTTTGACTTTTAAATTGAAAGAATCGTGAAGTTACAATAGAAACACATGGTTTCAGCAGGGTGAAGCCACGTGTCACACTTCAAACGAGAGCATGCGCGTGGTAAGGGGTATGTTTCCACGAAAACTGATTTCACGGAGAGGTAACATTTCCTGGCCCCCAATAAGCCCTGATTTAAGTCTCCATTGAAAAAATTCTACTTTTTTCTATGGAGAGATCTTAAAAATAAGTTATACTCCAATAATCCGACAACGTGTCCTACGTTGTCGGATTATTGGAGTATAACTTAGAGTATAATTAAAGATGAATGTTCAACAAGAAATGGAATCCATTTCAAGAGAAACTCTTAAGAAAGTTCTTCAGAATTTTCGTGCTCGTTTGGAAGAGGACGTCTTTTCATGATACAATTTTCAAAGAATTAAATAACATTTAATTAACTTTACATTGTAATAAATCAAACACATTGAAATATGTATAATTGCTTTTTTTTTTACTTTTATTTTTCAAAAGTGCATTCCTTTCTGGGCCAACCTGTAGATCCACTTGGTAGGCGGGTGTTTTTTGTCAGTCCAGTCAGTTTCCAGTAAAAGGAGATCTCCAGTTCTATAAAATCATTATACCATACGGTGTCATTCTGTACTTTATTAAGGAAAATTGTCTGGTAAGGGTTATTATACCACTAAAGATAATAACCCCTGGGAATGAGGTGATTGATGCTGTTTCTAAATGCTTTCATAACAATTGTATTATATATTATATTGCATACTCCTATTGTGATTTAAAAAAATGGTCCCGCTTGGTTTCTTGTTGGTTCTTCCCAGGACGGAGGGTTTTTTCGAACCAGTGGTAAAATTAATAAAAAATATGTCATTCAATGTATTACGTGTAATCTATATTAAATAAAAATTATTCTTTTCTATTCCGTGAGAGCGTGGTTCTTCCCTAGTCAAGCCGACCCATTCGTGCTACAACCATAATATAGTTGCAGCGTAGAGCCACCTTCACGCCACGTATAAGTTATTTCTTAAACTGTAAATGTATGATGCAGTTATACATTAGAACAGATAGAAAGAGATTATAAAGGTTGAAAGAGAAACACTGAAATCAAAGGCTATATTGCATTTCTCTTTCCAATGTGGTTTAGAAAGTTTATTTACACCTGTAACAGAATCTGCAATTGTTAGAACGTCGTCGACATTTATCGAGACACGAATGTTTGATGAATTGATACCCGATACAGGATGTGGTTTACACTTCAAGCTTTTAGTGTTTGGCAAATTCGTTTACTTATCATTAACATCATCATCATTACAGCCTTTCAGAAGTCAGCTAGAGTAATTAGGTCTTCCCCAAGGAATGCCACATAGCACGGTCCTGAGCCACCTGCAACCATTGACTTCGTTTTACCGGGTTGTCACTCCATCTAGTGGAAGCTCGCCCTTAGCTTCACTTACCGGTACGAGGCTGCCACTCGAGAACCTTTTTTTCCACATCGGTTGTCGGTTATTCGAGCTATATGGCCAGCCCTTTGCCAATTCAGGTTACTTATCCGTAGAGCTATGTCAGTTATTCTGGCTCTACTACGGATATCCTCATTTCTAAGTTTATCACGAACAGAAAACCCGAGTATAGTCTTCTCTATAGTTTACTGAGTGACCTTGAGCGTCATTATAGTGCCAGATCGTTTACTTATATGATAGTGTAATGAGAAGTGAAGTGAGGATAACAGCGAAAATGTTTAGTGTCTGCAAATTCTTGGAAAATAAATCTAATTGTGCAATGTGTAGTTAATATAATTAACATTCTCCAGACCGAACTTCGCTCAAGGCGGCCAGTCTCAACGTCGAATAGCCATCTGCTCAGGACACACAGGTGCACTCCATTGCACTCCCTATTCCCTTATCTCATGTTCCGACGGGAGGATAATCCAACACGACCTAAGAGAGATTAGGCGCAAGACCAACGGCTTTACGTGCAGTCCGTTGCAAAGGAGTCCGAGCTAGTACTGATTATTTCTTGACAGATAAACTCAATAATTGATTTTTGGCCCCGCCTGGAGTTAGAAACGGGAATCTCGTAATTAGTAATCGCGGTTACGACCAATAGACAAGCAAGGCAGACATCAGTTCCGCACTTTTACATGTCTATTACTGTGTAAACATAAACAATATTAAGATTTTGACTACAGTGGTCTCTATCAAGTCCAAACATTTTGTATTTATTTTATACTCGTCTAGTTTTTATGGAATAGGAGTAACTCGTTTGTTACCCCTATTACATAAAAACAGTCCACCTGAATGTAAACTGATACCAAGGCCCATTGACATCTACATCTATCCTCGATTAAGGACCCAAATACAGATGAGTTGTCGCCTCTGAGGACTAAGATTGAATGCCTCGTTTCCACTAAAAAGGATCTAGGTAAAGAACCTACATTCGCAAAACACAGCAGCATTAAACTGATATTTTATTCTACTAAGGCCCTCAGGGGTGATAACGCATCTGCATTTTGATTCGTAAGCTAGGGTAAATGTAGACTTGTATTTTATTATAGAAATAGGGCGACAAATGAGCATGCAGTTCACCTGATGGCAAGTGGTTGCTTTTTTTTTTATAGGATAGGGGTGACAAACGAGCACACAGTCCACCTGATGGTAAGTGGTTGCTGCGGCCCATAGACATCTACATCTAGCCTCTATTATAAATGAAAATGTAGATACGTTGTCACTTGTGAGGACTAAGATGGAATGCCTCATTTCCAGTAAAAAGGGCCTCCGGCCACCTGCACTCACCAAGCGAAACGCAGAGGTAAACCGCTACTTCACGCTGGTTTTCTGTGAGGTCGTGGTACCACCCCGGTTCGAGCCGGCCCATTCGTGCGACAGCAAAAGCTGCCGCTTGGCTCTACCACTTTTAAGCTGCTGTGGCCCATAGACATCTATATCTATCCTCGTTTGTGAATCAAAATGCAGATGCGTTGTCAGCCGTGAGAACTAAGATGGAATGCCTTGTTTCTATTAAAAATAGTCTCCGGTTATGTACACCCACTATATGAAACACAGCAGTATGAAACTGCTATTTGACGCTAGTATTCTGTGAGAGCGTGATCCTTCCCCGGTTGAGCCGACCCATTCGTGCTACATCTATATTATTAATGTAACTGCAGCATGGCTCTACTACGTGCAATGTTAAAATTTTAGAACATCACCTGATAATATTCTATGAAAAGCAAATTCTTTTTTAGAGACATTTAAATTTTGTTTGAGTAATAAACTCGGCGACAGCAGGGGAGTAATTGAGTGACTTTGTAGTCAAGGTCGGAATATCGGTAAAATATTGTTCAATAGCCGTTGCAACGTCTTGATCTGATTTTGTTAAATTATTGTTAAAATTTACTTGAAAGTTTGAGTTGTGTATTTTCATATTACCAGTTTCATTATTGATTATACTCGAAGTTATTTTAAATTTTTTAGAGACATTCTTAATTTTCTTTCTTAAATATAATTTTTGGCTGCATGACATACTCTTTTAAATATTTTGGAATATTTTTTACATGTTCTCTAAATGATACACTATACATATAGGTAGTGAAGTCATACTGTTTATAGTTGTGGCACGAATAGGTCAGCTCGACCAGGGAATGGCCACGCTCTCACAGGATATCTGCGTAGAGTAGCGGCTTGGTGATGCTGTGTTTTGTATTGTGAGTATAGAGCTCCGGAAACCCTTTTACTAGAAATGAGGCATTTCATCTTAGTCCTAAGGTGTGACAATGCATTTGCATTTTGATTCTTAATCGTTGATGCCTATGGGCCATAGAATCCACTTTCCATCAGATAAACTGTGTGCTCCTTTGTCACCCTTATTCTATAAAAAAAACTCAAATGGTGGTCTCATATAAGCTAGGAAGTAAGTGTAGTATTATCTATTTAATATAAAATAGTCAACAAAATCTGTTATAAATTTACAAAGATACCGCGTAACAAGCATACAAAAATGCGATGGAATTTTATACCTCCTCCTTTTTTTAAGTCGGATTAAAAAGTATAATCGATGCTTATACGACTGACGAAATAAATATTTTTTTATGAAATTGAAAAGGTAAGTATGAAACAAATATAGAAATAAATATTTTTATTGGATGATCATAAAAGTTTTACATAAATTAAATGTGATGTGTAGACTTATGAGAAATACAAGTTAAATACTACTACGTTATAATTATCACGGTTTTCTAGTTATTCTTTGACTGACTGAGGATGGTATAATAACTGTAAGCTCCTTTTAAAATCTGTAAAAGAAATCATATATATAGAAAGCAATAACACTAACAAGTTAATTAATACAATTTTCATTAAATGTTATGAAAAACGATGCGCGCGGCTCTTGATCTATGAACTTGAAACGTCCAATATTTAAAAATCCTTCGACATGCGGTAAGGCACTTTCGATAATCGCTTTGAAATTGCATTTATTAGATAGTTTTAGTCGAGTTTAAACCTACTTCAAAAAAGTTCCCTCAGAACTTTTTTTTAGGGGAACCGGTTTTGATGATTCTTTTATTTAGATTAGATTCTTTATTTTAAAGCTGGTGCTTCTTATGTGGTCCCATATAAATTTGATCAAGATCTAACCAGTAGTTTTTCAGCTCTCCTTAATAATGCGTATTTAATTGACTGCAACGACATTGATGATTTTCTCAATTTATATATATATTGGATACGGTTGTACAATTTTTTTTATTTTACCACTTATGACAAGCGAGCACACACTCCAACTAATATTAAGTGTAATTTCAAACATAAATCCTCGATTAAGAATTAAAATGCAGATGCGTTGTCACTCCAGAGGAATAAGATGGAATGCCTCGGTCCCAGTAAAAAAGTCTCCGGTCCTCTACATTGATCACACGAAACACCGCAATATTGTGCTGCTATTTTACGATGGCATTCTGTGATAGGCGTGGTCCTACCCCAGTTGAGCTGACCAATGCGTGCTACAACCTTAATATATATGACTGACTCTACTACGCATTAACTACTCTTTACTACTACTTACTTGCTTACGTGCTCGAGCCAGAATTGTCTTAGTACCAGTTTCAGATTCAAAATCCAATAGGTATATTACTGGAGTCTAACTTTTTTGTGATTGGTATTCTTGTACCTGTCACACTACCGACACACTCTGAGAGTTGAAGGTAAATGTCAATGCATCTACCCTCAAGCTTCATTCTTATTATTTTTTTTTCTTGATCTCTCCTTTTTTATTTTCTTTTTATTTTAATAACTTTACCCCTACACTAGAATTTTCTCCTGTATCGTGGAGGCAGTTTACAAACATAAATTGCACAAGGACAAACATTCAGACCAGGAACAGTTATATGCAGGCCATACAAATAATTTTTCCGTGCGGGATTCGAATCCGTGGCCCCAAGTGCAGCAACTCATTGCTAAGCCACTGCGCGAGGGAACCGTCACTCAATCATGCATTTGCTAGGCATTAGCCCATTAGTAATCGCCGCGCTAGGTAGATAATTGGATGTAAATGTTTAAAAAATACAGTGGGTGTACATAGTTTCTCCTAGTATACTTTGCTTTGGCCTTAACTATAATAAAAAGTAGTACTTGTATTGTAGTATTGATCAATCAGGACTCTAGGAAAGTATTTTCTATGGTAGAGGCTCGAAGTTACTGACTATATAGTCTGTTAATAAACTGTTAATAAGCTCTGGTTCTTTTCCTCGTCCTCCTCAGTACGAGGTAAAGAACCAGAGGTTTTTTTTCTCATCCTCCTCAAGGTCTACTTTGAATACAAAAAAAAATACTCACGCTTAAAAAGGTTGCCACTGTAAGCTCCGTGAACGGGCCTGCAGTAAAAACTATAGTCTTGTTAAATTGATGAATTAAAATGCAGACATCTTTTTGTCTCGATGCACTGCTTGCCCACCAGTTACTTTCGTAAGGACCCTTCATTAATTCTTTGCTCTGTAATTAAGAGTAGCTTTTGAATAACTCTTTGTTCGAGTGTTCTCACTATTCAGCCCGAGTACTCGCCTACTCTCCTATCAATATCGGATTTTTAGCGCGTATCAAAGGTATGTTTGGGTATATTCGTATGGATATTTCCGAACTCGTCATTATTCAGTTGACCCGTGAACTATCATTATAATTTATTTGGCCAATCTACCGTAATAATATTCTCTAGTAATTTTCTTTGACAAAACATACTGAAAAATATAAGTGTAAATGTATTTCGCTCAGCTGAAATTACGAATTTCATAAGAGCGAAACTACTATTACTTATATTCTACTTGGTACTTTTAGTTATACTGCCGTCATTTTTTCATTAAAATATAAAATACTATAAAAGTTAAGTAGACACAAAGTTGTAGCAACGAGATGCACATTATCCATGTTTAAAATATCTACGATGAACGAATACAGACGAATATGTAAACGCGTCGCCTCGTTCACGAATAACTCTGCGTGTTATTCGGCGAGTTGTTCGTATCCAGTAATCTATACGTTATATTATCAATATAAGAGTTAAAAAAAAACTTAAATAACACGCTTTGAACATGATAATAGGATAAAGTTATTGAATTATTTTATTGTCATCAGTATTTAATACGAGTGCAATTTTCAAGTCCATCGGCCGTCTACAAGTCGGTGAAACTTACATTCATAGATTCCGTTTTATATATAACTAGATAGATGCGATGCTAATAAAAGTGAGTTGCAAGTACCTTTTGCATTAGTTATTAAAAGTAGAGAGTAGCCCACTAGGCTACGTCATACGTGGTAGAGCCATGCTCATGCCATGCATATATATTAATAGTATAGTTGTAGCACGAATAGGTCGGCACATCTTAATGCTGCTGTATTTTGTATGGTGAGTGTAGAGAACCGGAGACCATTTTTACTGGAAACGAGGTACTCCATCTTAGTCCTCATGGCTGACAACGCATCTGCATATTAATTCGCAAACGAAGATAGATAGAAACGAAGTAGAAGTCTATGGGCCACAGCAACCAATTACCATTAGATGGACTGTGTGCTCTTTTGTCACCCTTATTGTATATTTAAAAAAAAACTTTTGACTAACAAATTAAAGAAAATCATCCATAAAATATACCTAAACTCTGATTTTTCATTCCGTAGAATTCTAATATTTCATAAGTGTTGCTACTAAAAAAGTTCTCCACCGAAAAAGGGACAAATATGACCCATTTGGGCAATAAAAATAAAATGCTACGTATTTTTATGTTTTACTTACAAAAAGGTAAATCTAAATATTTACTTACTCAAGTGACTTAATACAAAAATAATAAATATTTCAATATCACGAACAATATATCGAATTAACTTTAATTACTTTATTTTATTCTTTAGCTGGCATCCTTGTATACTAATTCCAGGTTTCCTTTATATATATAAAGGATACCACAACCTCCTATATCCTATTATCTAAGTACCCAGTAGTAGTAAGAATACACACTACCCCACATAGTGGGTGTCATATAAGGCAACTAAAACGGAAGATGAGCAGCAGAATCTTCCTAATAAAACTCAAAATATTAGAAATAAACTGCAGCTGTCAACCCGCATGGCAAGCTGGCAACTATGGCAAAAATCCCCCCCCCCCCCCCCCCCTATGAGGCAATCTATGTGCAGGAGAAAATCTTATAAACTTTTACGGACGTTTGAAAAAATAGAAAATTATGTATCTTTTATTATTTTGAAGAACACCTCTTCCTCCTTCCCTCAATTGCGTGCAATACAATCTACTTTCAATAAAATATATAAATTCAATAAAATTAATATGAGAAAATTAAACAGCGGATAGCCATCGCTATCTTTTTCTTCTGATGATGCTTTGTTTAGAAGCAAAACACGTGTCGTAATATGGACAGTGGTGTGTCTCTCCTTGTGTAGTGTAGGTGGGTTCAGTGGTGACGGCGATATTGCACCCAATTGAATAAGGGCGGGAAGTGCTCAATGAACTCATAATTTTTATTTTATTACGCGGATTTAACAAATTATTTTAACATATATAAAATAAAGTTCTTATCTATCTTACAATCACTTCCCATCAGCCTTTGATCGTCCACTGCTGGACATAGGCCTCTCTTAAAGCGCGCTACAAAAACTAGAACTTAAGATGGAAATTTTTTTATGATTTTTTTTTTAATGAAATGCAATATAATCCTTAAAATTAGATTTACATTGTTATACATTGTTTTTACTATATATAAAGTATGTCCTTAAATCTAGCGGATGTAGCTCTGCACTCCTAGCTTTGTTACAGAATAACCTTTATTAAGGGGTAACACTCTCAATCCCCATAATATGAGGTATATAATAAATTAACATGCATACAGTTAAAAGTGATACAATTATAACGATTTCTAGTTATTCAAATTATAATTATAAAATTGAGAAATGAATGCGTGTGTGTGTGTGTGTGTGTGCGTGTGTTTGTGTGCGTGTGTGTGTTCGTGCGTATGTATGTGTGTGCATGTGTGTGCGCGTGTGTGTTTGTGTGTGTATGTGTGTGTTTGTGTGAGAGAGAGAGTAGGTAAATCAGTTTTTTTTATAGGATAGGGTGACAAACGAGCACAAAGTCCACCTGATGGTAAGTGGCTGCTGTGGCTCATAGACATCTACATCCATCATCGTTTGCGAATCAAAATGCAGATGCGTTATCAACCGTGAGGACTAAGATGGAATGCCTCTTTTCCAGTAAAAAGGGTCTCTGGTTCTCTACACTCACCATACGAAACACAGCAGTGTAAAGCTGCTATTTTACGCTAGTATTCTGTGAGAGCGTGGTCCTTCCCCGGTCGAGCCGACCCATTCGTGCTACAACTATACTACTAATATAGCTGTAGCATGGCTCAACCACGTACATAGGTTAGTTATTTTATAATCAGTCAGTTCAGGTATTTTTCTGTTTCGTCATAAGATTTGTTTTAAAGATATGAGCGGACAGTCTTCTTGCAGTTATAGAATAATAACCCATATCTAGAACATTTTTTACTTGTTTTATTGTGAATAGATGGACCCAGGAAATAACCCCGGGAATAAAGCCAATTTTTATAAGGTCGAACCCAAACTGAGCCTTGTGGTCCAGTACAGAAACCACTAACTTTCTTAAAGTACCCTCCTTGCTAAATTCCTATGGAACAATCGTGACAGATTTAAAAAAATAATCCGAAACCTAATCCACAGAGACCTAAGCGCGGGCAGATTAACTAGTGCGACGATGTCGTTTCTGCGCTTATACCTAAAGTTTCTCTTTTTAATTTTATAAGATATATTATAGACCAATTTGGCAAATCCTTGAATTAATTGAGTTGTTGTAAAAGAAATATAGAATAAAAGAGATAACAATAAAAGAAGAATGAAATGGATGACAAAAACGGACAAAATACATTATATCTGATTTAGTAATTCTACTAACCGCGTAAATCACTTCGTTACTGTGCCAACAAAATAACAACAGTTCTAGTATTCCAAATATTAGATATTCCCCTAATAGCAGGCATTGTACTGTACTCGTTTCTACCTGTAAATGAAAAAGAAAATTGTAAATGATTAAGTTTGACTCTCTGACATTGGATCGTGGTCTATACTCTAAAAGCTATCAACATTAAGTATTTCTTTCTACGGGTTCTCGGAAAAAATGAATTACTTAAATTTCACATTTTTAAGTACGAGCAAATGAATAAAAGATGGGGTATGTATGGTGTTTTTTTTTATAGGATAAGGGTGACAAACGAGCACACAGTCCACCTGATGGTAAGTGGTTGCTGTGGCCCATAGACATCTGCATCTATCCTCGATTACGAATCAAAATGCAGATGCGTTGTCACCCGTGAGGACTAAGATGGAATGCCTCTTTTCCAGTAATTAGGGTCTCCGGTTCTCTACACTCACCATACGAAACACAGCAGCATTAAGCTGAAATTTTACGCTGGTATTCTGTGAGAGCGTGGTCCTTCCTCGGCCGAGCCGACCCATTCGTGCTACAACTATACCAGTAATATACTACCACGTAAAAAAATATAACCACGTATATAATATAACCGGTTAAAGTATATAAACAAAACAATAAATGAAAAAACAAAGAAAGGAAATTTTTGTTATAGATATAAATATTACTTACAGTTAGCTGATAGGCAGTAGCACAAAGCATTAATGAACATACCAAAACGTAAATCAGCATTACTGGAGACACACAAGAATTAAACATTCGTGTATATCTGTAAAATATTTAGATAAATTAATTTGATTATTAAATATATTAGTAGCAATCGACCTCACCTTGTCTTAGTTCTGGTCTTACCTTATAAATTCGTTATATCTTCTATGACAATCTTTCAAACGCTGAAATGATTCGTCTTCATTAGCTGGGGATTCACTTGATCCAAATATATCCTTACAGTCATTTCGAAGCACCTCAAGTTCAACTCTAAAGAAAACCAAAATAACAACCACATGGGTATCAAAAGACGTAACCCAACCTATACCAATAATTGTAGCATAGCTTTGAAACAACGATATTGCGATGTAATTATTGAAATTTGTCTTGTCAAATGGCACCCAAGATCGGACAACTTCGACGTAACGTTCGGTACCATTTTTAACATTATACCTGTAGCTGGATGACAATGCATATTTTAAAAGTGGTTGCAATATTACAACCATGCCAGTAAAAAATATTAAGCACCAGTAAACATAAGTAATTTTACGGCTGTATCGAGTGTACTTATTTATAATAGTTTTGTTAGCTAGGTTACTTGTTGATCGTTGGTACTTATCTGCCCGGTTCACATAGTCATTAATTTCATGCCAGCGCTTCTGCCAAATGTACATTGTAACTACTTTCAATGCATTTGAAGTACTTGACATTGAAGACTTCAAATTTTCCAATACAAGATCCGAATCATTTCTGTTTAGCCAAAGATCAATATATTCCGTAACAACAAAGAAAACAACTGATACGTTTAGAAATATGTCAAGGAACCGTCTAAATTTTTGTTTATGAAGGAGAAGACCCCAGAATTTTAGTGCCTTGATGTTAGGGCCTAGTAGAGGGTTTTCAGGATCTTCTAGTTTATTTAGAAAATTGTTAAGCATGTTGAAGTTACAATTAAATAAAACTTCGCTTAACGAATGAATTCCTGACTGTATTAGACTTAATCTCTCCTGTAGTTTTATATAAGTTGAGTTTGAAATAGTGATGTGCGTTTCCAGTATTTCAATAATTTAAATAATTGACTGATTGATTGACTCGTATTTATATTGATAGTAGCTGCCAAAGAGATTAACTTAAAATTCAATTTGCAATTAATACACATTAATTTTGTTCCTGCATTTTATTAGAGCAAGTCCACTGCTGAACATAAGTTTCCCTCAAGGAATGCCACAAAGAACTGTCCTGAGCCACCTTAAACCATCCACTTCCTGCATTTATTGAGGCTGCCACTCCATCTAGAATGGGAAAGTCCTACCCGGGGAGGCTTCCACCCGAAAACATTTCTTTCCCAATAGTTGTCGGTTCTTCGAGCTATATGGCCGACCCGTTCCTACTTCAACTTACTAATCCGTTGTATGTATTTAAATAAAGTTATTTATACTTGCTTTATTTAATGCTTAATGTAAAAAGCTTTAAAAAAAATGATGAGTATAAATTAGTATAACAAAATATCGATAAAGTGTCCTGTCCCTATGTAACTGAAGAAATAAATCAAATGCTATAGCAGATTATTTCAACTGTGTAATTAGAAGTATATCACAAGAATTCGCTATTGTTCGTAATTATAGTTAGGACGTTATCATTATACAGGCACCATATAAGGCATAATAATACTATTGAAACATTTAATTTATACCATTTTTGTCACCTGTTCAGAAAATCAGAAAATCAAGATGGAAAGTCACAAAGGCAAATGTTACCTAAAAGTTATTATTATGCGCACCTAAGCTAATACATTTTCATATGTTTAATAAATATGGTAAAATTCTAGATTCTTTTAATTAACCATATTTATTTTCCTCTTTATATATAACTCGTAAGCTTTGAAGTTATATAGTAATGATCTTTACTTAACTTGAACAAACTTACTCTAGTAGTTCTGATTGCTGAATATTTTTTATATGATAAGAGTGAAAAAAAGCACACATTCAATCTAATAGTAAGTGTAAGCTCATAAACATTAGAAAACTATATCTATCATCGATTAAAAATCAAAATGTAGATGCGTTGTTATCCCTTAAGGCTCGTAATTAAACCAAAACAACTTAACTTTAATATAAGTGATTTTTAAAGGTATAGGTTTAAACAAAAAACCATTTTACCATTTTGTTTTATTTTTTAAAATCTCACTATTTAATTTACGTTTTCCGTGAATATATTTTGTTAGAACAACCAAACCAAATGGTATTTTTTTAGTAGCAATCATTTCGAAGTTCATAAAAAATATCACGCTGAGCCAAAATTAAATTCATAACTATAGTGGTACTAGCGGTACTGTTTTGATGCCGACATAATCAAAACACACATTATATCATTTAAGAAAACAATTATGTTGTGACTCGCACTCAGGACCCGCAGTGAAATTCCCCTGGTGTTGCAGTTGTTCTTGAAAAACATGACCACCGCACTTCTGCTCCACGCCTTAGTAGTGTAGTGCCACCATGGAGGACAGAATTAAAGAGCTTCTGAAGGACTTCAAATATCGGTTTTCTACCCGCTTTCAGAAGCTCCGCTGTAATTCTATCCTCGCCTGTAGCCTCGCCGTTTTTAAGGTGCTGGAGAACCATTCTAATTTCGTACAGACTGTCGTCCGGTATATCACAGGAATAGTGTCGGATAACTTCATTAGACGTGACCTCTCCAAATTTACGTTTCGTTTCAGTGTGCCTCTCACCATTCGTTGATCGCTGCCGGTTTTCACCCTCGCAATCACTAAACATCACTGAACGGTTATTGTCTGGTCGTCATAAACAAGTCAGTCAATCTAATTTTTTACCGAACCGTCGGGACTCGACTAGATCCACTTCCTGTGGAGCCACTTCTGGAAGAAAGAGTTCAATATAAAGAGTCCCACTTTCTCCAGCTGCTGCCCCTTGGGTTCCGTTGCCCTATTCCAAATTTCCCTACCCTCAGCATACCGTTTACTCTTGTGCCTAGTTTTGCGTTGAAATCTCGTATAGTGGGTTTTGGAGTATGAAACCTATCCAATTGCAGAGAGGTCTAAGACAGGGTGATGTTATATCCCCGAAACTCTTCACCGCTGCATTGGAAGACGTTTTCAAACTTCTGGACGGGAAAGGATACGGTATTAACATCAATGGCGAGTACATCACTCACCTTCGATTTGCTCAATGACCTCAATAGTGTCTCCCAACGGATAGGTCTTAAGATGAACATGGACAAAACAAAGATTATGTTTAATGTCCATGTCACACCTATGCCGGTAGTTGTTGGGAGCACTAAGCTCGAAGTTGTTGACGAGTATGTTTACCTGGGACAAATAGTCCGACTAGGTAAGTCCAACTTCGACCGAGAGGTCAATCGACGGATTCAACTCGGCTGGGCAGCGTTCGGGAAGCTACGACACATCTTCTCGTCAGACATACCTCAAAACCTTAAAACGAAATTGTACAACCAGTGCGTGTTGCCAGTAATGACTTACGGAACTGAGACGTGGTCCTTCACTGCTGGCCGTATGAGGAAGCTCAAGGTCGCTCAGCGAGCTATGGAGAGGGCTATGCTCGGAGTTTCTCTGCGTGATAAACTTAGAAATGAGTATATCCGCAGTAGAACCAGAGTAACCGACATAGCCCAACGGATTAATAAGCTGAAGTGGCAGTGGGCCGGTCATATAGCTCGAAGAACCGACAACCGATGGGGAAGAAAGGTTCTCGAGTGGCAGCCTCGTACCGGTAGGCGAAGTGTAGGGCGACCCCCCACGAGATGGAGTGACGACCTGGTAAGACATGCAGGAAGTCGATGGATGCAGGTGGCTCAGGACCGTGCTTTGTGGCATTCCTTGGGGGAGGCCTATGTTCAGCAGTGGACTTATGAAAGGCTGTAATGATGATGATGATGATGAGTGGGTTTTGGAGGAATGCATGGCTCTGGAGATATCCTCATACATTTCTTCCACCTCCTCATCAGGATGTGCCGAAGTTGGCCCGTAAAAATGTATAACCTTCAGCAAATACCGTTTGGTGATTCTGAGTATAAGGTACTAAACCCTCATCAACACACTCTCAATCTTTACAACGTTGTTAACTTGTGGACGATAAATCCGACACCTACTTGGGACAGATGGTCACCCTCACGATGATAGAACAAGTTGCCGGATTCGATGATTACTATGTCTCCCCCCTCCCTCTGGACCTCGGATAATCCTATAATAATCCAGCGCAACTTGTTTTTCTCTTCTTGCAGCTCCAGGATTTTCTCGTCAGTCCTCAGGGTACGTGCGTTATACGTTGTTAGGTCGAGTCGTAGTAGGTGGCAACCAGACCTTCACCACAGATTCTCAGCTCCCCCTGCCCCGCCGTTACCATGGTCGCTACCGTAGCCAAGAATAGCGGAGCCACCGGAGACTGGGGGTCATATCTTCGTTACTATGATCATAGGGGGGGGGGTGTATTGCCATAGTTGCCACGTTTGACAAGCGGCTTGGCGATCGCAGTTTTTTCAGAAAGATGCTGCTGCCCATCTTATGCCTCAGTTTCCCTCTGTCGCCATTTACGGGAAGATATGGGATAGTGAATATTCTTGTGTTCTGTTCTTGGTTTCTTGGCAAGAAAGACAACAACGCTCTCTTGTAGAACTACAGACCGATTTCCCTTATGAGACGCGTCTACATGCAGTTTTCGAGAGTCATTACGAATCGTCTCGCACACAGACTCAACGACTTCCAGCCTCCTGAACAAGCTAGTTTCCGATAAGGCTTTAGCATTATAGACCACATAAATACCCTTCAGCAAATTTTACAGAAGTCTGAGGAATAAAATTTGCCACTGTGTCTGTCGTATGTGGATTATGAGAAAGCCTTAGATTCCCTTGAAATTTGGGCGGTGCCGCAGTCCCTTTAGCGGTGCCAAGTTGAATGTTGGTATATCGAAGTGCAGAATTGTTTGTACAGTAGGACTAAGATGGCTATCCGAGTACGGAACTAGAGTATGAAACCTATCCAACTGCAGAGACGTGTAAGACAGGGTAACTTTATATCCTCGAAACTCTTCACCGCTGCATTGGAAGACGTTTTCAAGCTACTGGACTGGAAAGGATATGGTATTAACATCAACGGCGAGTACATCACTCACCTTCGATTTGCCGACGATATAGTCCTTATGGCAGAATCGCTGAAGTACCCAAGCACTATGCTCAATGACCTCAATAGTGCCTCCCAACGGATAAGTCTTAAGATGACCATGCGCAAAACAAAGATCATGACTAACGTCCATGTCACACCTATGCCGGTAGTTTTTGGGAGCACTAAGCTCGATGTTGTTGACGAGTATGTTTACTTGGGAGATATAGTCCAACTAGGTAAGTCCGACTTCGACCGAGTGGTCAATCGACAGATTCAACTCGGCTGGGCAGCGTTCGGGAGATTAGGGCACTTCTTCGCGTCAGGAATACCTCAAAACTTGAAAACGAGACTGCACAACCAGTATGTGTTGCCAGTGATGACACATGACACTGAAACGTGGTCCTTCACTGCTGGCTCGATGAGGTAGCTCAAAGTCGTTCAGTGGACTATGAAGCTCTCCTTTAAAAAAAGATATTCTGAGTGGCCTTGTTGTTCCATTCCGTACACCGATCCCCAAAATTTTAATGTAACTATATAGATAAGTCATATTTTGCGGCTTGTATCGAATTTAATTTATTTTTTTTATACCCGACGTTTCGTGTGATTTACAACACCCATTGTCACGGGGGAAAATGAGTTGTTTGATGTGACGATGTCATAGTTAGCCCGACTACCTTCAGTTTCGTTCTACGCAGAATGAGCTTACAAGTATCTTGAAGTAATGTAGTGGTATGCTGGTTCGGGTTTAATTTTACTATAGAATCCCAAGCAGCATCCATCCATCTTCTCTTTTGAAATTAG